CTTTGTGTCACATCCAGTGGGCGAGGGGTGAGGAAGAAGGAAGGGTGGTGGGGACTCGGGTCCCAAGGTCACAGGGTTACAATTACAGGGTCACAGGTCATAGGGTCACAGGGCCATGGGGTCACGGGCGTTATGGGGTCATAAGGTCATAGAATTACGAGGTCGTAGGGTCACAGAGGTCAGTGGGTCACAGGGGTCACTGGGTCACAGGATGACAGCGGTCATTGGGTCACTGTATTACAGGGGTCATAGGGCCACAGAGGTCACAGGGGGTCATAAGGCGACAGGGGGTCATAAGGTCACAGGGGGTCATAAGGTGACAGGGGGTCATAAGGTCACAGGGGGTCATAAGGCGACAGGGGGTCATAAGGTGACAGGGGGTCCAGTCAAACCTTTCCGTATGCGCATAGCTTGAGCAGAAACTCCAGGCCATAGAGGGAGGTGAAGACCGTGTTAATGAGATGGAGGATGCGGGCCGCGTCCTCCCCCTTCTCACGGCGCCGGGACTGGCGAGATTCCTTGGGGTCAAACTGAAAGCAGGTCGCAAAAGCCACGCAGTGGTCAAAATAAAGGGGAAGGAAGGAGGGAGGGAGTGAGGGAGGGAGGGAGGGAAGGAGGGAGGGAGGAGGTGGTTGTAGGGGGGAGGAGGGGTGGTCAAAACAAATGGGTGGGGTAAGGGGGTTCAAAATGAAGGGGAAGGATGGAAGGAAGGAGGGAAAAAGGGAGGGTGGTTGTTGTTGGGGGAGGTTAGGGGGTGTCATCGAGCATTGGGGAGGAAGAGGGGTGGGGGGGGGGTAGACTGAAGAAGTGGTCTAACCCTTAGGAGAGGAGGAGATGGAGGAGGAGGAAGAGGAGGAAGAGGAACAGGAAGAGTAAGAAAAAGAAGAGGAAGAAGGCAAGGTGGAAGAAACGTTTCCTCCAAACAAAGTCTTGCCTCCTGCAACAAAATCAATGTGCAGACCGCGCGCTTTTTACATTTCAAATCTGAAAAAAAGACCTGCCGCCCGCAGCACACTAAACAAACGGCTGGCAACTGTGCCAGGGATGGTCCAGGGATGGTACAGGGATGGTCCAGGGATGGTACAGGGATGGTACAGGGATGGTCCAGGGATGGTACAGGCAACGTCCGCTCCTCAAAAATGTAAAACCCAAAAACATCCAGGATCAAACGAGAAGGCCACCTCTCTCTCTCTCTCTCTCTCTCTCTCTCTCTCTCTCACACACACACACACACACACACACACACACACACACACACACACAAACACACACACACACACACGTGACACGTCTGCAGACACAACAGCTTCCTACAATATCCAGACACCTGGGGATCAAACCTCAAACAACACCAAATATAAGCAAACAAACGAAACAAACAAACAAACACACAGACAGACAGACAAATCATCCTGCAGGATATTTAAAAAAGCAACATACACACAAACAAACAAACAAAAATCACCCATGAAAACCATGACAGGAGGCAAGAGTCAATTACAAAAAGTGTCAGCAAATAAGAAAGGGGAAGTTGGGAATTATGTTTGGGGGGGGGTG